TTTTTTTTTTTTTTTTTTTTTTTTCACATTTGGACACATAGGCGAAAAGGAGCAAGCGTTAATAAATAATACCCCCCACCTTTTTGTGTAAAGAGCGTAAAGAAACCAATGCTGGGTAAGCCCTCTCACGAGGCAGGAGACATGGGTTTTTTTTTTTTTTTTAATCAGGCTTCATCCCCACAGGAGAAAAAGGATCAGGAAAAAAAAAAAAAAAAAAAAAATGCAACCTTTTGAAATGCTTTAAATGTACCTACTAATAAAATTGGGGGAAATCATTAATACGTGGAACGCCTCAAAACACTGTTATTCTTTTTTTTTTTTAAATTGAGGGGTCTGTTCGCTGCGGCCGCTTCTGCTCCCTGCCTCTTTCGCTTTGCGGTTACATGTGTTTGTTTTTTCGTCGCCTGCCTGAGCGCAGGTCGGTTATATACTCCATTTCGTTGCTCCACTATGCCGCCCACATTGTGTTCACTGCTTCCTTTCCCCTCGCCACAACCTTCTTAAGGGTGATCCCTGTTTGCAATTTTTCTCTCCCCTGGGTGTGGAGGCATTTTTTTTTTTTTTTTACAATTCGGTAAATTCTGGCTAATTGGCTTTTTTTTTTTTTTTTGGCGAGCACAACAACTATGTCAACGGCGGGGGGTTGCGTTTTTCTTCAACGCACTTGATTCACACAAGCTTCCATCGGATGACCCCCACGTTAAGAGGGCCAATGCGATTTTGAATCCATCCCCTTGTGAGTGACCCCACTCCATCTCATACAAAAAAGGAAAAGTAATATAACCATCGTGTCTCCTCTTTTCTTTTTTTTTTGAATTGTAAAAAAAGAACAAGACGTTCGCATAACACGTGGTTGCTTCCGCCCCTCACTGCGAAAACTCCCCCTTCGAGACACACACACTTTCTCTCTCCTCTGCCGAATCAATCCTACCCACGTGGCCCCCACCCCAAAACTAAACACCATATTATGCATGGACATTTTCATAGACCAAGAAATAAATACCAGTGATGAAAATGAGGCGGTGCTGCTAGAGGTTGATGATCTGTTCACTTTTAAGAACCCGCCCCCGCAAAGGACCACGGGGAAACAGAAGGGGCGACACGGCGGACATCAGGGGGGAAAAAAGGACGCTACGAAATGCGTACAAGATGGCGACACGCAGGTTACAACTCCGCATCGCGACAGAGGGGACATCATGGATGATCCGCATGAATGGTTAATAAAAAAGGAACAAGTAACGGAGGACAATTATGAAGACGACCTGGAAGATCACCTCACACACCATGAGGAGGAAGGTGATATGCTCGATGCAGACCGCGCAGACGAAAACACCATCTCAGGAAAAAACAGAAGCAAATATAACCCATCCTGCACCTACCCCCTCATCACTTACATGTATGGAAGAGCAAAAAGTTACATTCGAGACATGGTGCATAGAGTGGAAGACAAATTGCATGGACATGTAAAGCGTGATGATGATTTCTTCTACTACAAGAGTCACACATCACTCGATTTTATACACGTCCTTGCTAACCGTCTGTACTACTCTAGGGGTACCATGTACTTGTACTTCCTTGTGATTGTCCTTAACCTTTTCATTCTCTTCTACACCGCGTACACAAAGATGGTCAGTCTGTTTGTGGTCCTGTGCGAACTGTTCGTTATACTAATGCTGCTGTTGGAGGTGTGTCTTCGCTTGGCCACGCAGGTGAGTCATGGCGTACTGTGTACGCTATAAACCGAGTCGTGACACACAAGGGGGACAGGGTGCACCCTTGGGGGCGATGCTTACACATTCTTTCTCCACGCGTTGCACTGCCACACACACTTCGCACTCATTGCTGCTCACCCCCCACACACAACAACAGGGTCGGAGCTACTTCCACAACCTCGAGGGGCTGTTCGATGTGACGGTGACGACCATGTGCTTCCTCCTGCTCATCAGCAGCGGGGACCTGAAGATCTTTTACCATTCAGAGATGGTCAAAACTAAGAACAAAGAAGTGGAGGAAATAATTTCACAGAGCCTCACCGTTTTGCGCTTCTCTTTTCAGCTCTTCCGGACGATCACCCTGTTTATGCACTACGAGCGAGTTAAGGTAGGGACAATGACACTGTGCAGCGCCGGGCGCGCCTCCGTTTGGCTATTTTTTTGTTTCCCCCCTTTGTTTTACGCCTCTTCACCGTTTCATCAGTTCACCGCTTCCACCCCTTCACCGCCGCTTCCCCTCTCCAACAGGCGCCAAGCGAGAACATTGATTTTGCGGTCCTAAATCTGCCCCACGAGGAGGAAGATGATTATGTCATCTGACTGGCTCTGTATTGTCCCCCCCCAAAGGGTCCCACAACGTATAAACAAGATAAAGGGTGGGTGGGGAAAAAAAAAAAAAAAAAAAAAAAACGGACACATTAAAATGGCAAACCAAGATCTTAGTTCACATCCCCCCTGGTGCTTGAGAGGCCATCAGAAAAAGGGAGAGACGGGAGGACACACTAGGACAAGCAACAAATTTGAAAAAAAAAAAAAAATCAGACATTCAAATGGCAGACCAAACAACTGCGTAAAAGGCAAACGCGTTAAAACAAATGACACAAAAAAAAAAAAAAAAAAAAGAGGGACAGTTTCTCCGACTATATTTACCCTCTTTTTTTTTTTTTCTTTTCCTTTTTTTAAAATCTGCGTCGCTTAAAGTCCTGGAAGGATGAAGCGCCGCCATGCCCCCCAGGCAACCCTCCCAGCCTATCACCTTCATCCTGCTGTTTTTTATAATCATATGAAAACGAATCGATCAAGTCTAATTTTTTTTTTTTGTCATATGAAACATGTGCGTAATTCTCCCCCATGGTTTTCCTACCGCAGAAAGGGTCTGTGAAAGGGTCCGTGAAGGGGTCCATGGAAGGGTCCACGAAAGGGTCGTCTGGGTGTGGCTCCCGCATACCTGGGCCGCCTACCCTTGCAGCACCTGCGTTTTCATTTTTCCCTAGGGTGCTCAAACGGGTAATTGTATCATTACGGTTGAGGTAAATCATTCGTTCACTTGGCTTGGCCACTCCGTGGGTGACATGCATGGGTTGCACTGCGTTACTCCTTCTACACACTTCATCCTTGAAGGTATAGTTGGCCAAGTCGATGGGGGCTTGGTGTGTCCTTTTCCTCCCCACCAACGAAGCGCTTGGGTTATACCCCAAATCGTTTCCCTCTTTTATAAATTTAATATCTTCGTTGAAAAAGTCCATCAGCCTACTTTTGTCGTTGCTACTAAAATGGTGCAGCTGGCTTGTCGCCTCCGCGGTGTTGCCAAAGGGGCTCAGAGTAGTTTCCTTCCCCACACGTCTCTCAACGAAATCGCTTTGCACGAGGTTTGTTTCACAATCGAGTAGCGGCTTCGCTCCCTCTAGGAGGTGCCCACTGGGATGTCTCCTTTCGCCGCAGGGATGGGAGGCCCAGGTACCACCCGCACCCATTTGCATGTCCGCCCTCGCACCACCGTTAAAGTATGCACTCTGGAAGGAGGACGCTTCTTCCTCCATGCGTGGGTAGTGGCGCACCACTCCGCTGTGACTAATTTGGGCGTGATTGACTGCGCCGTGACTAATGTGGTCGTGATTGATTGCGCCTAGGGCAACGCCCCTCTGGGCCAGACTACTACTGCCTACCCCCCCGCCTCCATAAGCACCGCTTCTCATCTCACTCGGGGGGGCACTCTGGAAGGAGGAGTCCGCCCCAAGCTTGTCCCTCGCGTGGTCATATTGAAAGGACGAAATTAAGTTGGAAAATTTGTTCAGACTAGATGTGCCCCTTTCAACGGGTTCAGCTGAACCCATATTTTGGCTAGCTGTGTTCAGATTTATATTCATATCTAAGTCATGTAGCAAGCAAAAACCTCTAATACCTGAAATGAGTTTTTCCAAAAAGGAGTTAGGACAAACGGGCGAAATATTATCCACGTGTTTTCTAATCAGATGCACAGATGTAAGTCGTTTGTGGCATATGTCTTTTAAAGGCTTGTCCGATATTAACTGAAAAGGGGGGATGTTCTGTTGTCTCGCTTCTATCATTCTGGTCCTAAGTAAAATTCGCATAATAGAATCATTTATTTTTTCTTCCGTCAGTTTCTCCTCCTTATATTGTGGCTCCCTACGACATTCATTCTTGTCCGCATTGAAGTAGCGATATTTGTTATCTGGCACGTTATTCTTTTTTTCAATAATGGCTTCTTTTATCGGGTAAACTCCTTCAGCTTCGTGGGAGACTCTACCATGCAGAGAGTTCATGAAAGGAGGAGGTAGTGCTTCTCCCTCAAATTTCTTCTCTCCCCTATTCGCATACTCTCCCCCATTCACATACTCTCCCCTTCCGCTATAAGTGAAATCATGCTCGAAATTGCGGACTGTGTTCCGCTGACCAAACCCTTCACCATCATATGAATGCTCAAATGCCTCATCTTTATTCCTTAACGTATTACTCTTTTTCTTTCCTTTGGTGGTCTTTGGCTTCTTTTCCTTGTCTTTAAGAAAGAAGGGTAATCTAACAATGTACCTTTGTTCAGAATCTTTAATAAACGCCTCCCCTTTCGGGGTTACACCTACACTAAGGTAACTCAAATCTTTACCATATACCAACGTTTCCTTTATGTACTTATCGTTTCTTGCCACTTTAAGAAAGGAAGACCACCAGCTGGTGCTTTTGTGTGCCCCATTACCATACTCCTTTATGTTGTGATATCCTTTTTTAATTATACATGCTTCTTTGCTTTTCACTAACACTTTGCAGATGACTCCGATACCGGTTCTTCCCTTAAGGGAGGAAATGCAGCCGATTAACGTTTTCAGTTCAGCCGAGAGGTCTATTCCTTGGTCCGCGGGTACTGTTTGTGGGGCGTTGCTCTTAAGTAGAGTAGCATTCACGCCGTTGCGGGGGTCCTTCTTCAGTAGGGCGGTGGCGTCTGCCCAGGGTTGCTTCAGCCCGGGCCCTGCACCCACGTCATCCACATGCACGCCCTTCACCTTCGCACCGGCCATGTGCGTACCAGCTATATGTGCACCACCCATGTGAGTAGCAGCCATGAGCGTACTACCCGTATGCGCACCAGCCATGTGCGCACCACCCATCTTTGCATTGTCCGCCCCGCGAATCTCCCCCAGGTAGTAAGAACAATTATCGCAATTCGCACACAAGTACATGTCGTACCTCTTCACATAAAAACAAACCCCACAGTTCTCTTCACGCTCAAACACATCCACATCTGTACATGTATCAGGTGTCTCATCGAAGTAGTCATATATTTTTTTCCTCCTGCAGATGGTCGAGTAGGCATAGTCCGAAGCCTCTGTAAACATACTAACGATATGTTCAACGCGTTGAAAATTTGTTTCAATTAAATTATTGGCTATATTTTCTCTTAACAAAATATTTTTTATTTTCGACTCATCATTTATATGAAAGAAGAGAATGGCTTCTGCATTGCTATTGTCTCGACCAGCTCTTCCTACCTGCTGCACGTAAGCCTCCAAGGAACGAGAAAAGCCATAATGAATTATTCTCCTTATATCCGGTTTGTCAATCCCCATACCAAATGCTACTGTCGCCACAATGATCTGTACTTCATCTTTTAAAAATTTTTCATGAGCTTCCTTCTTCTCGTCATTAGACAAATCTGCATGGTACATTCGAACAAGCAATCCCTTCTCGAGCAGAAAAGAAAAAATATTCTCACACTCCTTCTTGGAGTTCACATATATAAGAGTAGAGTTGTAGGGACATATTTTAGAATTGTCAATGAACCTTTTTGTCCTCTCCAATGATTTGTTATTAGGAATATCGAGAACATCCTTCAAATCATTAAATATATTTGTTTTCTCCCGGACGCAATAAAAAAGGTTCCTCTTGTTAACGCTACTTGTTTTTATAAGACAGGTCTTTACATCAAAATCGAGGTTTTTTACAATATCTTTTTGAACCTCTCTTGTGCAGGTAGCTGTTAACCCCATAAAAGGGATACCAATTAAATTTTCTCTTAATTCATTTAATTTTCTGTAGGAAGGTCTAAAGTCATGTCCCCACTCAGACATGCAGTGCACTTCGTCAATGGCTACTAATAAAATCCTCTTTCTTAACACTAAAAAAAGTTGCTTATTCAATAATGCATACTCTGGGCTACAATATACTATCTTGTACATCCCTTGCTTCACTTCTGTTAACACTTGCTGGTTACTTACCTTCTGCCCACTACCTAAAAACACAGAAGGGATTCTCTTCCTGTTCAAATTATCCACCTGATCTGTCATTAGCGATATTAGCGGTGATATTACCACTGTGAATTTATTCTTTGCTTCTTCCATGAGGGAAGGTATTTGGTAACACAAGGATTTCCCCATCCCTGTGGCCATCACGATTAAGCTGTCTCTCTTGTTGAACACGGCATTCACTGCCTCTATTTGAAAACCCTTCAAATTTTTATAACCAAAGTGCTTCTTCTGCGCAGCCTCCATCTTTGTCTTCAGCTCCTCCAGGGAGTAACTGCGCGCAACATCGCTCCCCTCCGACTGGTCCGTCTCCGAACCGCTCGACCTCTTCACCCCCAGATATTTCAGCATGGTGCAAGTAGCCTCCGCAGCCACGTCAATGCGCCACGCCAATGTGCAACGTCAACGTGCAACCCTGCGAGGTAACAAGTCACACGTACATATTACACCCCAGGCGGGGGTGGGGGAGGACGAGAAACGGCCTACCAATTTTGGCCGTCACCCGAAGGCAGTTATTGATTGGGAGTCGAGCCCACCGCTTCCTCCCACGCCACGTGTGTGCGCTCCTACACGCAGTCCACTTCAGATTTAACCCCCAGTGAAAAAAAGGGGGGGAAAAAAAAAAGTTCAAAAAACAGAATGAAAAAAAGGTGCAGAAAAAAAAGCAAAAAGAGAGCGAAAAAAAGAAATGCAAAAAAAAAAAAAAATAGCCAACGGAAGGGAAAAAATTAACCAATGCAAGGAGTGCCACATGCACAGATGACTTCGCCCCTTTCTGCACAAAAATGTAGCCCCCCTTTTTTTCCATGCGAACTTTTTTTTTCGATTTCTTTTTTTTTT